CTTACCTTCAGCATTTTAAAAATGTTTTTGGTTATTCATAGTAGAATATGTGCACATACATGGCAGAGGCAGAGGGTGATGGAGGCGCACCGTCAGTAGGGTTTGGTTGCACCATGATTTCCTTGCTCTAGTCCTCCAGCTTACTGGATCTTGGCATTCTATTGCATACTTGGAGTGTATCTGGCCAGCTGGACTGGGGATTTGAATAGATGTTGCCTTGTGATTTCTGCCTTGCAGCTCAGCGCACTACCAGACTGTGTCTCCACAACTGGATCCTTTCAGCATTTTTAATAGACTTTATATGTGAAGGTAGTTTTAGGTTCATACCAAAATTGGTGGGCAGTACAGAGTCTTCATATGTCCCCTGTGTACGTCACATGCATAGCCTTCCCCACCAGAGTGGTGAATTTGTTACAGTCGATGAACCTACACTGACATGTAATTATCTTCCAAAGCCCATAGCTTTCATTAGGGTTCACTCTTGGTAGTATACATTCTGTGGGTTTGGACAAATGTATAATGACGTTTACCCACCTTTGTAATATCATACAAAAAAACTTTACGGCCCTAAAAATCCCTGTGCTCTGCCTGTTCATCTCTCCTTCCCCTGACTCTGTCACAACTGCTGATCTTTTCACTGGCTCTAGTTTTGCCTTTTCTGGAATATCATATAGTTCAAATCATGGAGTATGCGGCCTGTTCACATTGGCAGCTTTCACTTAGGTGTGTGCCATTTAAGGCTCCTCCATCTTTTTAAGACCTTAAAAAATTTTTCTGTATCTTTTTGTTCTGACCAGCTTAAAATTTTCTCCCTACTTAACTAGCTTCTCTGATCACATCACCATGTTCTATTTTCTTCACAGCACTTGCTGCCCTCTGACATTTTCTATTTTATTTATTGCCTTTCTCTCTCACTAGAACGTAAGCTCAGTAGGGGTGGGGAATCTCATCTGTCTTATTCCTGGATGTAGCCCCTCCAATACCTAAAACAGTTCTGCTGCGTAGTAGGCACTTAGTAAGTGTCTGAAGAGTTCAGTACATACATGATTTGAATATTAATTCTCTTTAGCTTTACTCTTCTGTCCTACTTGGTTTTCAAGGTGACAGACTCATTGACTCTGCTCCAGGTTTTGTTCAGAGAAGGCAAAAATTCATGTTAAGTCACTGAGTCTGGGAATTATTTCTTGTTCACCTTTGGCTTCTGAGGCTCTGTTGGTTGTCTGCTGAATTTAATGGGTCTCCTGGCGAACAGCAGTTTGGTAGCCTTGGTGGGAATAAGTCACACTGCAAGAAAAAAGAGAGACAGTAGAAAATGATTAAGGGAAAAGTAGCAGAAAAGTATGATTTAGCATTTATTGAGTCACACATTGTACTCAAAGCTATGTATAACATAAAAAGCAAATTAGGAGACAAGTCAGATATAAAATGAGTAAGCACACAAATACTGCTGAGAGGAAGGTATTTCCTCAGATGCCTTCTCTCATTTACCAAACTGTAGTCTTATCAATAAATATACACTTGTTCAGGAGAGAAATAATGCAGCCAGTTTTTTTGTGGCTCAGTCTTTCCCCATAGGCACTGGGCAGTGAGAGGACTGCATTTTCGTTACTGGTTTGTAAAGAAACTCTCTCTAAGGCTAAAAGACTTTTAGGGAGGCCAAACCAAATGATGCTGAGTTAATGTTCTCATTAAAATGTTAAAGAGGCTTTATTCACAAACTAGTGAAGCTATAATTGCTTTATCCTTGTAAACTATGAACATACGTGGTGTCCTCTCTTATGGAGACTTTTACCTAGTTCCTTCTGCTTGAAGATCTTTGTTTAAGGGAGGATGTGGCTGGATCTAGGAATTGAAAAGTACCTGCTCTGGATTATGAGAGGCATTCAAAATGCTCATGGGAAATGCCTATTGTTAAAAACTATGTGTGGGTATTAAAATATTTTGACATCAAAATAAACTTGTACTTTAATTCCATTTTCCATGAACTTTTTATAGTGTCTTCACATCTTTCAGGGATGTACATAGTGGAAGGTAAGGAGTATACCACTTCATCAGTTTATTTTCCAAAGATCTTAATTTTATAAGACCTATTGGACTATTTGATCTAATTTAGAAATCATATGAGAACAGCACATATACACACATACATACAAACACTGTGAAGTGACTTTTTTCTTTTTTAACTCCTTTTTTAAATAATTATTTTATTTAACTTTATTTATTTACTTTTTTTTTTTTAACTTGACCAGAAAGGTACAGAGTAGGGCAAGAGAGAGAAAGTAAGAAAGCAAGCTACCAGGTCCAGGACTCAAACCACATGTGGGAGTACAGCGCCCTTAACCACCACACCACCTGACAGCCCCATGGTTTCCTTTTTTAAAAAATTTTAATCCTTTTCATAAGCTGTAGCTTATAAAGATAAAAATAGAGGAAATCCAAAGGTGCATGAGACCGGACAGTGTGCAGTGGCAAAATCACAACACTGCGAGACTGACCAATGTGGAAATGTTCTGGGTTTGAGTCCGGGGACATCCCTGAGTACAGTGGGCACATGGATTCCTGTTATCCTAGGCTAATGGAGGCTGAGGGCAGATCATGGCATCAGAACCCTGTTGAGGTTGATGTCTCTGTGCCCCTTTCTCTCTGTTTCTGATGGGTGAAATAAATAAACTTTATAAAAGAAAGAAATTTTTAAAATGCTGAAATGTTGGTGAAACTGAGCAGAGAATGCTGTGGTATAAAAGTTGCAGGGGGAGATAGCATTCAGAACTGACTTTGAGAGACACAAACAGACTTTTTTGAGTCCTGCTTTTTGTTATCCCTCAGTGTACAAAACATAGCTGTAAAGGGCCAGCAGGTGGAATAGTGGTTAAGGTGCTGAACTCCCACATGGCTAATCATTGTTTGAGTTCTGGACCTGGCGGCTTGAAAATCATGGTGGGCGTGTGTGCATACATGCCCAGAATCTCAGGAGGAGAATGGAGGAGAGGGGATTGCAGCATGGCCATCCCCCCAGGGATAGGATTTCAACCCATTTCCTGGTCTATAGGGTGAGTCCAAAAATCAAACAAACCAATGAATAACAAAGCTGTAGGAATTTAGATAGTGACTGCAGATGCCAAGTACATTCTTTTATCCTTAGAAATGACTTACAATGATGTTTAGATAAGACTGAGTTGTTAGAGCTAGGGTTTTTATATAGCTAGGAATCTATTATATACTGTTATAAATCTCAAAAATGAAATTTATGAAGAAAAGGTTAAAACATAGTATCTTTTCTCTAATTCCTTATTATTAGAAAACCCTGTTTGTCAAATGCTGACAAATCTAGATCTCCCGATATGCAGATTTATGAGGTCTTCAAAAAGGTCATGGGAAATATGTATTACAACAAATAAACTTGTACTTTAATTCTGTTTTTCCATAAACTTTTGAATTCCATCATATAATAATGTAAGTAGTATCTAGGGATTGCTTTAAAATAGTGTAGAATGTAAAAATATCTTTTCCTCATTTATCCTAGATTTGTGACTAAGCAAAGGCAGATTAACAAGAAAAAAGTATACAAATTTACTTAATATAAGTTTTACATGACAAGGTAGCCTTCATAAAAAAATAAAGGCTGACAGCCAGCAGATGGCATAGTGGTTAAAGTGCTGGAGTCCCACATGGTTGACTACCGCTTAAAAAAGTCACAAGCGGCCGTGTGTGTGTGTGTGTGTGTGTGTGTGTGTGTGTGTCCAAAATGCCAGGTGGAGAATGGAGAAGGGATTGAAGTATGGTCATCCTTCCTGGGGTGTGGTTTCTCGTGTTCTTTGTCTCTCTGTTTTTGGCGAGTGCATGCACCCTATAGCAAAAATCTCTCTAAAAAAGAAAGACAGAAAGACAGACCCACAGAAATGGATAAACTTTTGGCTATTTCTGCTAGGTTTAATGAAGAAGAGGATAGTCATGGAGAAATAGAAATGGACAAAGAGGGTCTGATCTAATATTAATAAAATGGGGAAATTTATCCAAGGTTTATTTGTTCAGATTCTTGTCATCTCTGAGTCTTTGTCTCCTTTCCTTTGTGTGCAGGGAGGGTCCTTTTCCCAGGAGGGTCTTACGATCTCCTTTAGAAGGCCAAAAAGTCTTCCTAAGCTTTATGAAATTCTTCAGGGGAGCAGGAAAAGGTGAGAAACATCTTCCTGCTTCTGCTGTTTTCTCAAATGCTAAGCTTCCATGTTTTGGGGTAGCATGTCTTGATCCCATTTGTAGTTATTTTTTCTTTTTCTACTGATAGATTTTTAGATACTTTACCCTGGGTCAGATTTAAATTAAAATACATTTGTCTGAGAGCTGTCGAAGCTTTTTTGCCAAAGGGTCAAATCCTTTTCGGATGTGATCGCATTTGTTAAGACTGGTTCAAATCTGAGAGGGTAGTAGAGGTTCAAGATAATAGATTATAGGAAACTGTATGATCGATTAGATAGGTTTCTAAAGAGCTCTTTACTGAAGGGTGACAGTCTCAGTCCAATGATATTGATGGTGTGTGTGTGTGTGTGTGTATTATTTTTTTTTTTAGAGATTTTTTTTCTATAGGGCATGTGTGCTCACTGAAGACAGAGACAGAGAGACAGAAAACGAGAAATCACCCCGCAGGAGGTATGACCATGTTGCAGTCCCTTCTTTTCCATTCTCCACTCAGGATCTTGGGCATGCATGCACACACACCTGGCATGAGTTTCAGGCCACCAGGTCCAGGATTCAAACAGCAGCCAGTCATATAAGAGTCCAGCAATATAACCATTACAGTATCTACTGGTCCCAATGGTGTCAATATTAAAAAGAACCTTTTATAGTTCTTAAACATGAAGAAAATAAATTCTAATTTCTGGAATACTGTTGACGATATGTAAGGAAATATATTTTTAACTTATTAAGAGGTTCAAGGCTGGTCCTGAACTACAGCTGTTAAGCACTGTGCATAGGGAACCAGATCCCATATGGCCAAACATGATTCAAATCTCAGCCCTGGTGGCTTGGAAAACATCCCCTAAATCCTTACAGGAAGGAAAAAAGGATTGCAACATGAGCATACCCTATGAGGGAGGCGCTTTCTCTCTCTTTCTCTTTATTTCTCTCTGGTGAGCACATATATCTTCTGAAAAAAAAAAAAGAGGGACCATCAGATGGCTTAGCAGTTACATCAATGGACTCCCATATAGCTAACTACGATTTGAGTCTCAGACCTGGTAGATTCAAAGTTACAGTGGGCACGTGTGGGTGTGGGCCCAAGATCCCAGAAGGAAAACAGAGAAGAAAGGATTGCACTGTGACCATTGCCCCTGGGGAGTGATTTCTTACTTTTCCTCTTACTCTGTCTCTCTCCACCAAGTGCATGTACCCTAAGGCAAAAATATCTACCAAAAAAAAAAGGAAGGAAAGAAGGTAAAATAGTGATTCAGAACAGGGTATCAAAAATTTCCTATGTTGGCTCTTTTATGAACTTTGGGTTGATTGCTATGCAATACCTGTTTTGGAGAACTATTAACCTGTTTCCTGAATTTCAAAGTGAATTCAGAGAGGCAGAAATTCTTAGGGTTCTATCAAGAAATAGAACCTACTTCCCATGTTTTCTCTTCTTACTCAAGATAGGATTTCCACCTCTTTCTTGATCTGTAGAGCAAATCCATTCTGGAGGTTTCTTCTTGGCTTGTTTTAAAAATCATGGTGGACTATGATTAGATCCTTACTTCTCACTGTGACTCAGAAACCTTTGGAGAACTATAATAATGTGATGAGACTTTCAGTAATAATAGAGTGTGCAAAGAATCATCGGAACAAATGGAATGGTTAGTTTATCCTAGGCCATTGTATTTTTTGAGAAACTTTGTCTGCTTTTTAGAGTTTTGCTATTTTCTCATTTTCTATTAGAATTTTAATTGTCATCTCTGACTGCTCAGTATCCCTACCCAAAGCAGCTCCTTTTCCCATTGTGACTTGTGAAAGTGAGACATCCAAGACTGTGTTTAACATTATATTTAGGTGACAATGCCGAAAACCCAAGGGACATTTTCAAAGTGTATCAGTGTGTGATAATAATTTCTACTGGCTACTTAATTTTGTTGTGTCTTAAGACTTTATTGCCCAATTGATTGTTTGACTAATTCTCATTCATTTATCAAATATATTTTGGGAATATATTCTCTATACCAGGGGCAAAAGGTAGACAAAGCAGGCTTGTCTACAAAGTTTTGCTGATACAGGTTGAAAATAAATATGTGGGAAAAAAAAAAAAAGAAATACTTAAAAGCAAACCAAAGTGCTTTTCGTCAATTCAGAGAAAATGTGTAAAGTTGCCGTATCAGCCTACTTTATAGAGTTCTCCTTAAGTGCATTTCATGTGGGAAGTGATACCAGACATTTTCTATATTACAATAATCTTCATATATTTATTAAGCTGTAACTTGTAAGGCTTCCTGATGGGGCATTAAATGAGGCTTTTTGTGTGCTGCATTGTGTCTTTGTCAAGAAGCATTCTGTCAGCTCCTGCCTGTGTCATTCATCTGACTTTTGCTGGTAATGAAGCATGTTTCAGTCATTCCAGGAGGGTTTTGGGGATCTGCACAAAGAAGGATAAGACTAACAAGAGGATTGGTTTCATGGTGGGTTAGAAGAAATGCACTTAGGGAAAAAAAAAAAAAAAAACAGGGATAGACTGAAACGCTTTGCCCAGTATATTTTACTTCTTTATATCCTTTCAGTACAGTAGCTGAATGCTCTAGAATTGTTCTACCTTCCAAAAAATACTTTAAAAAATGCAAGGCTATTGCATTTTAAAAAGAATTTTTCCCCTCTTAACTGTCGACCTGGCAACAGGTCAGGAAAATCTGAGAACTCCAAGTATTACAATACAGCAGTAGAGGAGTCCAGCAGTTTTCCCATCATTTCTAAGCTCTATATTAGGGAGGACTGGCTGTATACTGATAACAGAGATTCAGCTCTAGGGAAGGGAAGTGCATAGAACAGGGGAATAAAAATGTGAGGATATTAGTAAAGAAAAGGGAAAAGTGATTAAGAAGAAAAGGGCAGGAAGATGTTTGTCCCTTATCTTCTTCTCACAAAAGGAGGGTGTGGAAAAGCAGGCAGATTGAGAGGAAAGAAGGGAGCTGAATTAAAGATAGGAGGACTCTTGAGGTGGCAAGGGAGAAAGAAAATGAATCAGAGGAATCACAAGAAAAAGTGAGGGAGAAGAAGACAAGGTAAGGGCCATTTGAATGCAGGAAGAAGGGATAGGTACAGAGAGGAGAGTGCACACTTTGGTCACACTGAGAGCCTTCAATTGCTCCCAGCGGTGCACCTGCCAAATAGCCAGTGTCCCTTGCCGAAAACATTTTCCTGACTTTTATATTAACTTTAATGTCATTCTCTTTATGTTCCCTGTATTGCCGGTTGCAATTTCATTGACACTCTGTGTGATCAAATAGCAAGTGTAGAGGCACGGTTCTGTTGTCCCTGCCCCCTTGCAGTGTGCTGCAGACTTCTGAGTCAGTGCTTCTTACTTTTGATGTCTGCCATTTCTCCTTGTCTGCAGGTAGGAGAGTTGAAAGAAAATAAAATGTTCCTAAGGGCTGTCACGTTTATAGTTCATGCATACAGATGTTCAAAGCAACTGAAAAAGAAACTATAAAATTACAGTTCAATAATTTTTTCCAAAGTACTGTTGTTGACTCTTTCATTTCTGGTTTGGTTACTTGCCTTGATCCAACATCACATTCCCTATACCTATTGGTAGGCTACTTCTTGAAAGAGTGGTTCTGATCCGTTCTGAAAACTTGGCTCCAGAAGCCTTCCAAATATTCCAGGTCTAGGCCAGGTGTTTTCTAAATATGTACCAGCACACTCCCCTGCCTTTTTTTTCCCCATTAGAAACGCATTGTTATTTCTGTCCTTTCTCTTTGGGCTCTTTGCTCAATATTGGTTCTTATTGCATACTTATTTGTAGAATGAATAATGTCTATCATCAATGTCTACATTGCTGGTCTTATGAGAATAACATAAATTTTTCTAAAACAGCTATGCTTCTTGATACTGGTTTACAATTCATCTGCAAATTCAGCCAAATGAAAGGAATTTAGCTAGGAATAAGTGGTTGCTAGAAAGTTTAGTATACTATCTGTCCCCAGCTTCACACAGTTGTAATAGAAGATTTGTGATGCCGTTAACTTCTAGACATCAGAGGACAGTACTGAAGTTTTAGGCAAACTATTTTTTTGTGATTCTAGTAATCACAGGTCTAATGCATAGGACACTTTAAAACTATGCTTTGTGGACTCTGACGTGCAACGGAATCATCTGAGGATCTTGTTAAAATGCGTATTCTGTTGCAGCAGGTTTCAGGTGTATTCTCAGATTGATATTCCAAGCTCTCTGGTGATGTTTATGTTGTTGTCCATGGACTGCACTCTGAATAGCAGGGCTTTAAAATACTTTTTAGAAAATGAAGTTGGAGTTTAGTCTGCAGAGATATGTAAGTGTACTTTATAGTTTGCAGAACAACAGATTATCTGAGAGAAAAATTTTAAGTATATAACTTTGATTTCAATTTGGAAATTTACAAAAATTTCTCACATTTAAAAGTAGTACATCTGGGCCAGTACATGGCAGGTGGTTAAAGGGTACTGGACTCTCACATGCCCGATGCCATGTGAGTCTTGGACCTGGCAGCTTTCTCTCTCTCTTTCTCTTTCTCTCTGTCTTGCTCTGTTCCTCGTTGGTCAAATTAAAATATAAGTAAATACATAAAGTTAAAAAAAAAAAAGTAGTACGTATGAGGGGCCAGCAAGTAGGTGGTGTTTAAAGTACTGGACTCCCATATGGGTAACCACAACTTGAGCTCCAGACCTGGTGGCTCAAAATCAGGAGGAGAATGAAGAAAGAATTGTGACATAGCCATACCCAATGGGGGGGTAATTTCTCACTTCCACTCTCTATTTCTCTCTGTCTCTTTCCAGCAAGCACACACACCCTATGGCAAAACCTAAAAAGCAAAAACAAAAAAAAAACCCAGCATGTCTGATACTGGTCAGCATCCCCAAACTACTTTTGAATGACACTATAGGTTGTACTGTCCTTAATTAACATGTTACTTTATTTAGGCTTTCTTGGGTTGAGGAGGCCCTGTCTCTTCCACTGGTGCTGGTGGAGCTATTTTAGCAACAATGATTACTTTTAATGTAAGGGGACTTCAAAAAATTTATTGAAAAATGGAATTATAGTCCAAGTTTATTTTGGTACAACCAGTGTTTTGAAATCTATTCAGTACTTTCACAATACACATTTCCATGACTTTTTGAGGATCCCCTTGTATTTCTGCTTTCTTTGGGAGATTGACATTTTAAAGACTGTTTATGGTAAGACCTTCACATTTATTGTTACTAGGTTAGCACTATGTGTAGAACTTCTCTAAGGGCATTCAGATGGAATAGCTGAAAATAGAAAGGGCACTGTTAGCTCAAACTTTGCGAGTGAAACCTTACCTCTGCTTACATATGTTCAGTCAGCTCTCTGAAACTGTTTAAGGCTTTTTCTAACAAGATGGCCTTTGTTTTACAGGTCTTTTGCAGCCAGCTTGATACCCTATTTTTATCAAGTGGAGGAGAGCGAACTCAACATGCTCAGGTAAAGGAATGGGGTGAGCAGTACAAGTTTTAAGCAGGACTAGTAGACTGTCATTATATGGAAAGTGATTTACCTTAACTATACTATCAAAATCTTCTGTTATATGTCTTGCTCCGGTATGCCTGGGATTCAGAGGGCCTTCTGAAGGATAGCTCAGTGAACTAACATGCATTTAGAGAACATGTACAAAGTACTGAGATAGGAGCACTGTAAACTATCAGTGAGGAAACAGGACCAGTCATTAGAAATCTTTTTCCAACTTCTACAGAATTAACAGAGTTATTATGATTATATATACCTTTGTTACCTTATCAGAAGGCACAGAATTAACAGAGTTATTATGATTATATACCTTTTATACCTTATCAGAAGACTTCTATTTTTTCAACTGCTGTGTAAATACTTGAATCCTAAAGACTTCTAATTAAAGTCTTATCTCAGTCCCTTATCTGATGTTATCTTTGTAAATTTCCTGTGCATTTTCTTTTAAATGTATGTCCTACAACTTTGGTTTGTTCAAATAGGTCACCAAGATTAATTTTCCATTAACTTTTACTGCTACTGTTTCTTTCTAATCATCTTTTTAGAGGATTAAACAGTCCCCATTGGGTCAGCCTCTGTGTAGGATAAACCACCTTTTTCTTTGCTGGCTTTTATAGGATTGATGTAGATGGTCGTGATCTCTGATCTAGTGCTGGGCCTAGACTCATGAACAGAGCTGAAGTATCTGCAGGGAGACCCACACTAGGTGTGCTCTTAACCATGGCAGTTTCTTATTGTGCTTGTTTTCTTTGTGACCTAGTCTGGATTAGTTTTCTCTGACTGTTTTACCAGAGTACTACAAACTGGCTGGCTTATACAACAGAAATTTATTGTGTCACAGTGTTAGAAGCTAGAAGTCGAAATCAAAGTGCTACAGCATTGGTTCCTTCTCAGCACTGTGAGCTGTTCCAGGCCTCTTTCCTGCCATTGCTTGTCTTACTTCATTGCATCTCTTGACTTATCGAGGTGTCCTCGCCATGTGTGGGCATCATCACCCCCTGTGTCTGTCTCTCTCTGTGTCCAAATCTCCCCTGTTTATAAGGAAGCCAGTCTTATTGGATCACTTCCCATCCTAATGACCTCATCTTTACTTGATCATCTGTAAAACTGAATTCCAAATAAAGTCACATTTACATGTACAGGAAGTTAGGACTTCAACATCCTGTTAGGGTATACAAGTCAACCAGAACACTTTCTAAGGGAAGTTAATTTTGAAGTCTTCCCTAAAAATCTAGCATGGTGCCTTCTGCTTATTATTGTCAAATGAGTAAATAGCAAAGACCATAGTGTCCATAATCAAATCTAATTTGAAAAAGAAAAATGCAGTGACCAGAGGTGGCAGATATTCGCTGCTGACCATTGTCCTCAGTGAACTCTTTCAGGACAGCCCAAGTTAAACAACATCATAAATTGGGTAATATTTTCTTTTAAAAGTAATAGCAAGTGTTGTTTTTATAAAATATAACTCTCTGTGTGAGCTGGTCCTGCCTTCTCTGCTGGTGTCGCACGCTGAACTGCCAATTTACATGCTGCTCTATCAGTACATCAAGATATCTTTCCAGCTAATTCAATACCATTTAAATCATACTTAGCCAGGCTATTCTTTCTTTCCAGCTGCATCGCTTTGCACTTATTAAATTTAACGTTCTGTTCCCTGGCTTTAATCTCTAAATGCTATCCTGAAATAGATCTGCCCTAGTTGCATCTTCTCCTTTCTCTGTGCTTTCTGAGCACAAAATTATTAGAAGGTATCTTTTGAGTGTTCAGATTTGGATGTTGATAAAATATTAGGATACCGCTCTCCAGGTAGCACTTTAAATGAATGATCTCTTCTTTAGAGATATTTGTTTGGAGAACTCTTCTTTCCTGTTGGGGTATTGCTTCCTGGCCTAATCTGTTGTTACATTCAGGAAAGGATTACTTTCTTAATCCTGAAAGGAAGCCTCCTGCTTAGAGGAGTCAAAGGCAGGAGCAGATTTCCTTCAGGGAGTGAGGTGGGCATCTCTAGTAACTTTGTAAATTTATTTAAACCCAGGGTTAGTGCTGTGTAGAGCTGCTATAAGTAGTCAGTCCCAGGTCTAGATATGGACTGTATGGGTCAGGCCCAGGCCTCTGCCACATGTGCCCTGTAGGTAGGTTGGAATCATTTATTTATAGGCTTTCCCAGCATCCAGGAGCTTTTGTGTTCTTATGGGTAGGGCTACTGGCTGTCCCAAAGTCAAATAATAGTATCTAGCATTGGCGTAAATAGCATTGGATTTATGAGATGATAACAGGCAGCTGAAAATGAAAATAAAAATTCCTTTTTAGCATTTTTCACACTGACATTAGCCGTAAGAAAATTGATATATCAAATGGAAGCTATTTATGGTGTGTGTGATACATGTAGGCACAGTTCCACCTTGCTATGTCTGGATGTATATTGCTCACTGTTCTGTGTTACTCAAGAGCTCATTGCCTTTGATTAGAGGCCTTCTGTTACTGAGCTCTTTGTGGTTGGTTCCTGAGAATGGCTACAAGGCTTTGTCAAAATGGAAGAAATAGAGCCAGCCAGCCTAGTGGCACAGTTGGTAGCAAACTGAACTGTGGTGCTGGAAACCGTATGCCTGACCATGGGCTCATATCTCCAGGTTGGCCTGAAAACACACTAGCCATGTATGTGTGTGCCCCAAATCCTGATGAGCTGGAGGGCTGTGGGAAAAGGATCATACCCTGTCACAAGTGCTTCTCTTTCTCTTTCTCATACACATACATGTACTCTGTATCATGAATAAAAATTTAAAACATGTAAAAAAAACTAAAGGAATTAGTTTATTTTGGTCACAAAATGACCAGATCAGAGTGATGATAGGACAGCTCTCCACTGGCTTCAGATGCAGCTCAATGTGAAATTATATTCTGAGAATTAAGCTGTCCTACAATAGCTAGTGAGTGTTTCTACAGTGATAACATTCTAATAAGTCTTATTTTAATAACTAAGTTATTTCATATGTACCTGATAGTTCTCTACTAATAAAGAAAAAGCAATCTAGAATAATAACTTCAAGCTCCTTTAGCACTAAATACTAGCTTGTTCTCTCTGCTTCCATCTCACACACTAATCTTACATTTCTGTAAACTCAGACTTAAGACTTCCATGAATTTATAATAATTTAGCTGTTGTTTAACTTTGGTGTTAAAAAGGGAAAATGAGGACCAGCAGGCCAGATGGTGGTTAAGGTGTTGGACTCCCACATGGCCAAATGTGTTTTGAGCCCTAGACCTGACGGTTTGCTTTCTCACTTTCCCTCACTCTCTCTTTCTCTCTTTCTCTCTGGTAAGTGCACATGCCCTATAAAAATATTTTTTTAAATATAAAATTTAAAAAATAATTCTTTTATTTTAAAAAGGAAAAAAAATATTTTTATGGTCTGCTAGTTAATAATGAACATAATAGATTTTTAAAGATCTCTCTCTGAAATTAGGATATTCATGATATTACAAAGGTACTTTTAAAATATATTATGCTTTTTTAAATTGCCAGATGGTGTGTGTGTGTGTGTGTGTGTGTGAGAGAGAGAGCTCATGAGCTCACGAGCAAGCGAGCACCCAACTGGGATTTTGAACATGCACATACATGTGCCTGGCATATCTTTCAAGCTGCTAGGGCCAGGGTTTGAACAATACTCACCCTTGTGAGGTCAAACTACTTTAACCACTAGGCAATTGGACCAGCCAAAAGAAATTATACTCTTAATTGAGATTCTATCCAACTTTCTCAGAAAAATTTTGCACATGGAATAAAGTAAAATCTGAATCTTAGTGCTTGATTTCTCTGCATTATTTTTCTACCTTCTCTTTCTGTGTTTTTTTTCTTTGATTGTTTAAATTCATGAATTTATGTTGTGTTTATGAGCTGATAATACAAAAGTGATGAGGAAGAGCAGTGAGCTTCTGGCAGGGAATGCATGACTTTGGCATTCTCCTATATCTGTTGCTTCCTGCATGTTTAGTTGCCACTAAGCTCTTTCAAATTTCTGTTATGCTTTCATATTTTTACTTTTCTTTTCACCTGCAACTAACCTTTTCTAAGCTTTTCTTACCATTTTCTTTTATTTGTTCATAGAACCATTTAGTTTATTCATTCATTCATTTGAGTGTTGTCTGACATGTACCCAGGTTGTTCTAGGGAAAACATGAAGTATATTATAATTTAGGTGGGAAGTAGTCATGCAAAACTCATTGCTATGATAGCTATGCGCTAAGTATATCTTTCATATAGGAAACAGTAACTAATTAGGCTTAGAGGAGTTAGACAATGCTTTATAGAGAAGATTGCATCCAAATGGAGACTAGAAGGAATAGAAATCACCAGGTTGTTCAATGTGGTGGACAGAGAATGTCCCAAAGGAGATAAGATAGTGGATTATTGGGGAGGCGTAAGGAAGCAAAGTCTCTGTACTTCATGTTGTCTGGGTGTTGCTGGAGCTCAAAGTAGGAAGAGGGACATGGAGCTAGACGAGGTTCATTATGAAGACAGAAATAAAATCTTGGAGGTCCTTTAGCATATTTCTGAGCCTTCCTTTCTATCTTGTGTCTACAAACTGCAGTTGCTTTCAGTTCATCCTTTTCATTACAAGGAGAAAGTGTTAAAGAAGTGCTTATAGCCTGCCAAAACCTTCTTTATGCCACCCTTCCTTGGTCTGACTGCTTCCAAAAAGAAATCAGACCTCTCTCTTATTTACTTTGTCAGATCATTTACTCAGCAAAATTTGTCTGCTTTGCTTCTCATACATGATTTGTTACTTTCTTTTTTTATCTTCCATTTTCAAAATCCTCCCATCTTTCAAGGTCTCCCTGAAATTCATATCGCTTATGAAAACATGGCTTTACTTGTGTGTGATTTGACCCCTTCTGAGCTATGGGGAAACTTTCGATAGACTATAATTTCCACATGCCTCTTTATATCACAAGTTATT